TAGCATCAGTAACAGGATAGCTAAGTGTCTGTGCTTTTAATTGCCTGCATAACAGCTGCAGTGTCGGTTATTATGTTAAGCCCATATAACTTGTTCTGGCTTTCAGACAGGCCAATCTATTCATTCTAGTTGAGTCATATTTTGACCTTGTTAATTATTCACTTATCAACCTTGACTTTTTATATGAGCGCATATGTGTGTGTACATTTCTTATCCTATTCATCACATATCTGTAACTTATTTTTGTGTGCTTTTAAATATTGATTAATGCTTGGTTAAATGGGAGTTGGCTCACCCGCCATCTCCGCTTCATGTCGTTTCACTTCTCTATATTCCATTCGCTTCATATACAAAATATATGTACTCAAAAGTCCATTCTCGTTATTTGACTTATTTAATTCCGTTATTGACTAACACGATTTAAGTGGGTGATTATATACGAGGATAGGTGACATACATATTTCAGTAACAATAATTCATACGGTCAAATTGGAGTCAGGTCTTGAACCAGTAAAGTGGAGAGCCCATCGACAACATCGTCCGATCTAAATGACGACGAAATGAAGGGTCCCACTAAACAGCAGTGTACAGTCCTAGAAGGTGAGTGTTCTGTCTTAACTAAATGCGGCTGGCTGTGGACAAATGCTAAAAAATTTTTGACAACCCCGATCTCCCAAATTTGGGGAAAAACCCAAAATTTAGGGAAATACCCAAAGTCGAATGACCACCAAAGTTAAGGAAAAAGACTGGGGAATTTCCCCAGATCTGGGGAGATTTTAGGGTTTTGGTGCCATTTCCCCAAAGTTTACTATGGCGGCTTCTCCAAAATTGCGATCTCGGGACCGGGACTTTTGGTTTATCAGACACTGTACTTGTATATCTTCCTGTAAAACCAGACGCAGATGCATGGGAATATTTAAATGGGAGCAAAATAATAAAAGCTGTGCGATACGGTACTAAGCCCATGCTATACTTTGCACAAGTTGTAGTAGCTGACCTGAGTTCTTATCCATGAACTCGAGGTAAATCACAGCTGCATCGATTCTTTGCTTAAAAATATGTAATTTGTTTATTTGCCTATTCCACATTTTTGACTAAAGCCATTACTATTTTTTTCATTTAGAATGCAACAGAAGTGAGCCTTCACATATTTTACAAACTGTGTCGCCGTTAGAACTATGGCTCTATGAAACTTTACGGGAGACCCAACTAACAGCGGACTATTAAAAGCATGCTGAACGTCCACTTTAGTCTGACAACCACTTCCAGTATTTTTGAGTTACTTCTTTTACCCTTTCGTTTGAAAAAAAACAACAAAGACTGCAGCTTAACATTGCCAATGAGACTTTTAAGTGGGAACCTGTTGTAAATCTTTGTTTGATATTCCATTGTTAATGAAACTTCCTGAATAAATTTGTAAATCTAATGCTATTTTGTTTTGTATAGGTAACCGTTGTAAGAAACCTGTAAAACACGAGCCTCTCAGCACCTAGTTCATATGTAATAAATTAAAGTGATAAAGTACGTATCTTCGTTATTTTCTTAGGAAACCTACAGACTTGGACTCTCAACTTATTCTAGCCACTGTGAGTTGTCACGGCAGTTGATAGATGGACACGCGTTACACATATCCTAACCGTCCCTGTGTCTAATCTCATAGTTTCTTATTCAAATGCCCTATGATAAGCAAGCAATGCCTCTACCTACACTAATGAAACATTGGAGTAAAATGGCAATATACAGCAGATGCACATGGTACGACATGTCTTCATCGATTACCTGAAATAGAGAATACGGATATTAGCTTAACAGGCTTATTTAGAAAGACTAATGCGTACTTTGAAAGAGCATGTGGACTTACTGCGTGAGAAAGTTATACTGGAACTACGAATGTCGCAGAAATTGAGTTCCTCAGGGCGTACGAGGCACTCAAACTGTAGGATAGTTGTCCAAAAATTATTCGAATATGAAGGTGGAAATTTGCAGATACTTTTCATCGCGAGGGTGAACATATTAGGCACTGGTTGACATACCGTAAAAGAAACGCAAATTTGCAACTGGTGAAGTTAGATCTATAAAAAGGTGAGCTTAATAGCAGTTAATTATCCTTTTGCTCCCTGATCATGACCCTCTGGCTTCCTTTTATAGCAGCGTGATGGTACTACGTTTGCGCTGCTTGTCCGCAAATAAAACACGTTTATATACAGCGAAAGTTATTGGTTGTCCTCATTGTAGTCCATCTGATTACCCGCTAAACGTTGGGAGGATTTGGGGGTTTCCAGTCGCATTTCCACAAAATACATAAACTTTTCCCGAAAGTCGGGATGTTGTTTTGGTTTACCATGTGCATTCATAGTCTCAAGCACATCCTTTTAAGTCTTAATACCATGATCCCTTCATTGTATTGTTGTGTTTTAATACGCAACAATAGTTTATTAATTAATAAACCATTTTGTGTTACAGATTTTGTTAGTGCGAGAAGATAGTCAGGTATTGTTCTCAGGTGACAAGTTAGTATCAACTTGGAAACTAGTTTTCAACTTTCATGGAGATGTTGCTTCATACACGTAGGTTGCTTTACTACGATAACGTATTTGGATGAATAGTAGGTTGGAATGCTACGAAATGTCATGGACTAAACAGTTGCGTTACTGTGGTTGAAATAGACATGCACTGTCATCGCCAGTCCCAAGACCACTTGTTAGTTGTATATATTAATTCTTTCGACTTGCAAGCGTCTGTTACATGCTCACCTTATCGAATATTTCGTGATCATTACTAAACAAAAACAAGCAATGTATATACCCTCGAAACTCCCTTCCCGTTAGTTTATACAAATCCCCACACGCACACTGGACAGTGTGACCATTACAGAACTCGATGTTTTTGGTCTGCTAAATAAGCTTGACATAGGCAAATTCACGGGACCCGATGAGCTGCATCCTAGGTTATTAAAGAAATTAGATATTTCGTTGCGAACCTTTTAAGTGCATGCCTTAATCTATCCGTAACCCAGGGTCGTTTACCAAAAGACTGGAAAAACGCCATAATAAGACCTGTCTTCAAAACAGGTACGAAACGTAAACCTGAGAATTACCGACCCGTTAGCCTAACTAGTGTGGTTCTTAAAACTTTACAAAAGCTTATTCGGAAGGAGCTGTTTACGTATCTTGATGAAAACCGGATCTTTTCAGATAAGCAGTATGGTTTAGAATAGGTTATTCCCGTCTCACTAACTTATTAGTGGCTCTTAAGGACCAAAAGTTATCTTTAGACGTAGCCTACATTGGCTTCAGCAAAGCTTTTGATAAAGTTCCTCACAACCGGCTGTTATATAAGTTAAGAAATGTCGGGGTTGGAGGAAACCTATTGATATGTATAAAAGACTTCCTAGTTGGGCGCCAGCAAAGAGTACGGGTGAACTCCAAGTTGTCTAACTGGGAAACTGCTTAGTGGAGTGCGCCGTGGTACAATTTTGGGGACGGTGTTATTCCTCCTGTATGTAAATGACCTTCCTTGTCTACTGTCATCATCGGTCTTGCTTTATGCTGATGATGCCAAGATATGGAGAGCGATACGAAGTAAGGGTGATAGCTTAGAACTCCAAAATGACCTGGAGAAACTATCCGAATGGTCTCAAACCTGGCAGTCGCCGATAAATACTTTCAAGTGTATTGTGATGCATATCAGTCATTAAGGTGCAGATACATACACGATGAATAACACTGAGCTAGCGGTTGTCCAGACACACAATGACTTAGCAGTCATCGTTAGCCAAAACTGAAAGACTACTGCACACTGCCGTGCAATAGCCGCCAAAGGTTCTAGAACGTTATGGTCAATACGTAGGGCCTTTAGTCATATCAACGCTAAAACTTTTCTGACTTTGTATACAGTGCTCGTGCGTCCTAAACTTGAGTGCTGTATACAAACGGCTAGTCCCTGCTTAAAAAAAGACAGTGAGCTTTTGGAAAAGGTTCATATAGAAGAACTAGAGATGACTTGGTTAGTTTTCGAATTGCTTAGTGATAAATTTGCACCTCATTTTTCTTGTCTTCCAAAACAGAGAGCTTACGAGGAAGGAATCTCCAAAAATGCTCACAAGCCCAGAACAAATAACTTGTCAGCTGACTATTGACTTTCCCATCGAATCATCGACGAGTGGAATTCATTACCTCAGCGCGTGGTTGAGGCTCCATCAGTCGACTCTTTCTAAAGAAAGTTAGATCAACTGAGAAACCATTATTGCCGGGACTAACACAGGCCACCAAGCCTTCTGTCCTTTCCAAACTGAAAATGCTCCTACCTACTGAATAACTTCGAAGAAATCCTGTTAAGATGGACTTCTTCTCTAAATAGTATTGTAGTTATTATTAAAAATCAACGCGAATTCCAATATGAAGTCTGGATAATATTGGACTCTTCACAGAGAGAGAGAGTGGGATGGGGGCGCACTAAGAAATGAAAATTTCAAACCAACTACAGAAAACTCAAGTATGTTTACTCTGAGTAACTCATCTCAAAACTAGTAAATCTTGACGGATTCAAGGAAGAAGAATATAACGGCTAATGAATTATTAGATAACCAAGCTAAGACGTCAAGCTGTTAGACTTATGATGAACAATCCGAGGACTCCTGTATATACAGTTAGGGACAGTACGAGAAAATGTCTTCTGCCTGGTCAAAAATAACAAACACTAGTTACTACTCAGTAAACCGTCTTCCAGGTTATGACACCACTGATTGACGTCGATGCGTCCAGACAAAGTCCAACTTCCTACGCTTTTGGTAACTAAAAGTGCGCCCAGTGTTCGAACTAGGTTAGAATCCCTGCTGACCTTATAAAACTTCGCTAAAAGAACATTAGATAATATATTGAGACTTCCACTCAACACAATCAAGTAAACCCCCCTCACCATATGAAAAAACGACTGAGAAAGTTAAGAATAAGATATTTGGAGATGATTTCAGACCACACGAGATGTCATTACTCTCATGTGCCTTTTCGTGACGGACATTCTATCTGCAGTTATTTGAAGCTTTGGCTAGATAATTATCGGATCGTCCTGTGACGCCAGTTTGTCAGCTTTTCGAAGTGCCCACGAAGAAAACTTCACTCGAAAGCTGTAAAATTATTTTATGTCATTGAAAAAACCTACGTACGTTACACTAGGAAGTCTACTCTTAGTTCCCTAGCTTTAGACTAGCGATTCATGAAACCGCTTCAGGTCGAGGCTGTTAGCTATACTGCAGACTGATCATCTGAACATCGAGAACGATGATGAATAAATAGTATCTGCTCATTAGAACGTATAAAAAACACGGGAACGAGGTAATTACATCTACCTTTGTTACTGATTAACTATAGTCGCAATTCTAATTGCATGAAGAACATAATATTGGTAAACAGGAATTTAATTTATATAGGAATAAAAAGCAATACATTCATTTTGCGTATCATATTACTCATGAGGAAAAAAACTGGACCAGTTCATCAATGCCCCACTCTTTATCACCATCCAGATCGTATTTTTCCATAAATTTTTGAACAACATGTTCTGACAGTTTGCGATTAGAATTTAATTCTAATATCCTCTTTAATTCTTTCGAGGAAAGTTTCCCCGATTTGTCGGTATCTGCATAATCAAAAAGTGCTCTGATTTCCTCCCTGAAATAAAAATAAAGTAATCAGTCATTAATATATATATATATTACTACACACGTACATAGACATCATGACTAGAACGATGCTGAGCGTCAAAGTACTAATCGGAAGTACGGACGACAGAAAATCAGTTTATATACTAATTAGCCTATCCAATCAGAAGACTATACGATTTCAACAAACGATATCATGTGCGACCTTGATCTAACAATCAAGGTTGTACTAATTCCATTAGGTGATTGGATAAAAACAGAATTTGCAGCGAAACTATAATTTGTGGACGAACTTTGAGCGATGCTAAAGTGTTTACCTAATAACTAGGACCAAATGAGGGCTATAAACCAGTATGAGGAATTTGCATTATGATTTACAGTTGATGGTTAGAGTTAGGTATCACATTTAGGGTTTTCATCACGAACTGACATAAGCTATGATGCCAAAACTCTATTTAGCCAAATGAATGAATGAATTTCGCGACAAAATCCGAGACCTGTTATCTTACATTTTAGTTTCGCCGAGTTCGTTTGTTAGACCGATGCGTTTAGTCATGAAATCGCCTTTGGAACAGCTGGTGTATATTGAACCATCACCCTTGCTTTCTGGGATTGTTCTCTAGAAAAATCGTTCATCGCAGCTTGATGCGAAATCAACAACTTTATAAAGATACTTAGTGTTGTAGATTATCACAGCTACCATACCCTCATTAAGAAGCTAAGACCTTACTATGGTTCATAACTTAGTTGTCCGAAGTGGACGATATTTTTCGAGGAATCAAGCTGCAGGAGTAGGGTTCATAAACATACAAATGCCATTTAAATGGCCGTATTAAGTGTCAGTTTTGGTCTTTGTATTACAAGCGAACCAACTGAATAAACGCAATAATCGTCAAATCTTCTAACCAATATTATCCAGTCGTTAAAACCTGGTGTCTTGAAAAACTTTCTATTGTAAGTCTCATCACTGTGATTATCAAAACATAGTCTCTTACGGATGTATTTAAAATTTATTGTATGATGAGTGGTGTCCACATTATCCGGCTTCACAGTCTAAGGCATTGCCACTGAACTACTCGGACCTCGATTGACCTCTTCTAGCGCTAAAATATTCAAGAATGGTTGATCACCGAGGTATGACTCATATCATTAGCACTTAAGAGACCAGAGTATTTCACTCATAGGGTACAGGTAAATGGATCTAAGAGAAATTTGTGAAATATCTGAGCTTGAGTGAGTTTTTCAATTATGTCGATTATTACAGCCCCAACTGTTTTTATTCTGTCTCGTCATGTTATTTGGCATAAAATGCTTTTTAAATATTTAGCAAATTAACGACTAAATTATGTAGCTTGATGAAACATCAGGGTGTGTTAATCGAAAACGATTTTCAAGGTCAACTGGTCGTACAAAGCCGGAAATTGAATGTAATCACTTTATTAGTACATAGACCAACGCCCACACTGTTAAAATGGCCACTACATTAATATGTATAAACTTGTTTTGACTCAATTCGTCTATCTATCCGGTTTAATTAGGTATTACCGGGAGCTGAATAGAATCATGTTCAGAATTCTTCTATCGATAATGTAGGTGATGGAGTCGTTTACTGTTTTAAAAAAAGTGGTTTCCTCTAAAATGAGTCATATGTATCACATGATAATGAAGTGATATACTAAAGCGTCAATTAAAGCAACCACTAATTTTTAATCTTAATTTACATGATTTGGACTAGACTGGTACTTTATCCTAACACTAACGTTCAGCTCAGATTCTTAACTTGTGCTTCACTTGTATATTGACCTCATGAAACATGTTCAAACCCGTACTATTTTGATAATAAGGTAGAGCGTCATTCCAAATGTCTTCACTATTGAATTAGTCAGTTGAGTATGGAGTAGGCAATATAAAACTGAGCAAAGCAAAAACGGCACGATTTCTAGAGTAAATTCTATCTATTTCAAAAATTCTCGTCAGTTACAAGCAATCTAAAACTACAATAAATGGTATAACTATGAACAACAACTCAACTTTGGTAAGTGAAGTTGAGTTGGTTGTCCAAAACGGAACCGAAAATTATGATAATAGGTATATATTCAAAATCATGTTACTAAATATAGTGAGGATTGATGCTTGTTTAAGTTTTGAAAAGATAGTCATCTGGAGTGAAGTAGCTGATATTCAGACATAGGGTCCTAGAAACTCATTCAGAAAACCTCAGAAATTGTTGTCTCACTCTTTGTATGTTTGCTAAGATGAATATACATATCAATAAACTCGTTTTGCTGGAGGTGATATCGCACAATGTCTTAGTCAGTTTTTACTAATTTAATGAGAATTTAGAATCAAATTTAATGAAACCAGTTGAGTTGCAGGAACTCTTTTTAGTGCCGTCCCAGTTCTTCCTTGATTTTCATCCCCATTAAATGAAAAGTAGATGCGGACACGTGTTTTTATAGTTGGATATTTTTAGATCTTAGGATACTCCTCTCCATATTTAATAACAAATTTCTCCTAATCCCCATGTTCTAGAAGAATCTCTTCGATGATTGTAGTCCTCTTATTTCATCCACTGAACACACTACTCTAGCTACATTAAAGGGATTTTACTACGTAAACTTTGTGACTTACATAATTAGAACAGTTATAACTTAAATATAGACCCGTCTATATGTATGTTTTTCTCAAAAGTTCCGTCATTACTTAGCTCTATCCTGAGGTCCAAGCAGTCGAAATTCTTGTCGTCTCCATACTTCTCTGTAAACATAATGCTTAGGTGAGGATCGTTGAACTAGTGAAACCGTCGAATGGGATTATTTGCATCAATATAAATAATGAAATGATATCATCGATACATACGGAGTGTTATGCTATATTTTTTAATTTCGTATTTAAATTCTACTTGTTTAAGGTTAGCTAAAGAGATGTCATTCAAGACAGGTTCTAGTAAGCCTTTTCAACCAGACTAATGAATAATATGAGAATATATGAAATAATTCTATCCTTGAGTAACTTTATAGATAACTGAAAATCTTTTGAATTTAGTAAAGGAATCATGACACAAACAAGCTTGAATAAGAAGAAATAAGATTGCGAAATAATGAAATTTTTTTATCTCAGCAGCTGTCATCATTTATCTATCTGCTTAAAGTTGTATTTTTTGTCCAATTTTGATCAATGTTAATTATGATTTTGTTGGGGACGATAAATCTCCCAAAAACTCACATTTGTAATTTTATCGATTAAATGTTTAAATATTTGAATAGCAGTCAAATGATGAACTTATTGATGAATGTTTAAAAATTTAAATGACAATATCGATTATATATATTGTATATATACGTTTTAAATTATTTTGGTTGAATCTCTCGTTTCTGGTTGTTGCAGAATACACTTCTCATTTCAAGCGTGGACTTCTTCCTCTAGATAGCGGGGCTGGGACGCGTCATTAGCTAGATCACTGGTCGTTGGTCACCGAATCTCGATCTCGTTCGCAAACTACGTCAACATCTAAAGGGAAGCATGGGATACAGTGGAGATCTAGGATGCAGTTGTATGATCTAGACTTCGCAGATGAATTGGCTCTTCTATCGCAAACGCAACAACAAATGCAGGAGAAGACGACCAGTGTAGCAGCAGCCTCAGAAGCAGTAGGTCTCAATATACACAAAAGGAAAAGCAAGATTCTCCGGCACAACACAGCATGCACCAATCCAATCACAATTGACGGAGAAGATTTGGAAGATGTACAAACCTTTACGTATTTGGGCAGCATCATCGATGAACACGGTGGATCTGGTGCAGATGTGAATGCACGGATCGGTAAAGCAAGAGCAGCATATTTACAACTGAAGAACATCTGGAACTCAAATAATTGTCAACCATCACCAAAGTCAGAATTCTCAATACAAATGTTAAGACAATTCTACTGTATGGGGCGGAAACCAGGTCCGTTGGCCGGACACTACTAGCAACAACCTACTGTGGTAGAGAACAAATCAGATCCCAGTGGATGAAGAAGTCAGGAAGAAGCACTGGAAGTGGATAGGACACACATTGAGGAAGGCACCGAACTGCGTCACAAGACAAGCCCTTACATGGAATCCTCAAGGTCGAAGGAGGAGAAGAAGACCAAAGAACACATTACGGCGAGAAATGGAGACAGACATAAGAAAAATGAACAAAAATCGGATAGAACTAAAAAGGAAGACCCAGGACAGAGTGGGTTGGAGAATGCTGGTCGGTGGCCTATGCTCCATTAAGAGTAACAGGCGTAAGTAAGAAGTAAGTACGTTCTTGATCTAAAAGTAATGAGAAATTTCCAGTATGGGCTTACATTCTATTTTTAAACCAAGTTGTTTGTAGTTCGATAATCTCTAGTGTGCACTCGTTTGTCAATTTAAACACATTGAAAAGGACATGATGTTATTAATTCACTATTTTACTTACTGTTAGATAAAATCAATAATTGTAACAAAGTTGTGAAGTTATATATGTCCGTTACAAATTCCTGTGTATAGCGTGGGTGAATAACAAAATGAATATAATATCAATAAACTGTTTGAATAATGTAGTCGACGAGACAGACAATAACAATGATAAAAAAAATATAAGAGTATATATGAAAATAATATTAACGATTGTTGTGACCTGATGGTAGGTGAAGGTCATGGGAGGAAAATGACTAAACGGTGGATTTTATGCACATTAATTTTATCAGTAAAGTTTAATGGATATTGCTTCAGCTCAGCCTAGTAAACATGTACTGAAAAACTTGAAAGACTAGTAATTCGTAATAAGGTGTAAGGTTAGTATGAAAATTAGAAGTATTCGAATTAATTTAAACTTGGATTAATTTTGATTTGGTTATATATTCTCTGAAGAAGTGGCTTACATTGAGTCACTAAATGTCATAAAACCTAATTTTTCAACTCATTGGGATATTACAAATATATTATTTTATTTATTCCAATTAATGTATTAATTAAGAATTTCCAAAATAGCGCAGTTTAAAGCCAATCGAACTAGATGAGCACAAATGAACGTATTATATTTGGAATTCATAATAAGAGCTCAATAAAGTACAAAGGAATCATCAGTTAGTACAAATAACACAGCCATACATGCTTAGTAGTTGTGTAGCATCCAGCATTGTCGATTATTGTTCTGTTCATTTAATAGATGAGTGTTAAATATAAGGGCGTAATTCTCACTAGAGGTTTCTTTTCAAGCCCTAAATCTCACTATATTTGTTTTTCATTCGACGTGTCAGAGTGAGGTACAATAACGTGTTAATAGTAGGTTGATCTGGTTAATTTCAGATCTCAACACTCAACCATCAAGTGAACAGAAAGATGACAAAAGACGATTAATACGACACATTTATTAATCATTGTAAAACGGTTGAATAACCTCACACATAACTAACGTTCTGAGACTATTTTCTCTCTAGTGCAATCCAAAATGTGAACGACAACTAGAACTGTCTTCTCTTTTGAAACCCCGTGTTCCTGATATGTTGATTTTCACTGAGTTCCTCCAGTGCAGTACCTTAGCAAAATATTTTATTGTTGTCATATTTCGACTCCATGTTGTTCGTTGGACTGTTACTGGATGCTGTAGTCGTAATAACTTTGAAGTAGTGACAAAAAGGTCGCAGTAAACATAGTTCAAATTTTACTCCTAATTTATTATCCTTCTAGTGATTTGTTTCCAGAACAATTAGGTTTCAACGCTGCCCGATATGCCAATAACAATTAATCATTTAATAATAATAATAATAATAATAATAATAATAATAATAATAATTGTAACTTTCGTCTCGATATTTCAATGATCCGGATATAAATATCTCAAAACAAAATTCTATGTGATTATGAGATTCCGAGGAATACGAGGTTGGCCATATATGTTTTACACTTTATTAATTGTGGAAATTTTCAGTCATTTAATCAGTGGCGTAAAAAGTGATGTTTCTCAATCCCTTTATTTGATTGGCAGTGAAAGCACTGTAAGCTATTGGCTTCATTGTGCATGCATCAACAACAGTCAGATATAATTTCCCCATTACAGTTCATATGAAATCAGCATAGATTCTTTGTGATAATAATTTCATTTATTGAATAGTGCTGGAGATTATATCTGAAACGGTTCCATACTAATGATTTATCACATCCTAACAGCCGTACATGTGTGCTAACGACTATGAATTATTGGGTGGGTGTTATTGCGATCTTTTCGCAAACTACTGGTTTCATAATTTGGACGTGAAAGGGTAATATCGAACGAAACAACAACCTTAAGATTATCAACACGGTAGCGATGGTTACAGTTACTACTAGTTTGTTATTATCATCGGGCATCCGTTGACTTTTCGGAGAATAAGTCTGTCATTTTTCATGGTTATCACATCTATTTTAAGATTTACTAGCCGTTCCCATTGATTAGTAAGTGTTTGAATAGTCATAGTGGAAATTGCTCGATTTTATTAAGAACTTTAGTTCTGGTTTGAGCATTTTCGAGTGGATACAGGTTATTTACAGGTGAAAGGCGTTTGAACTAGTGTTTGATCATGGGAGAGGGGTTGAAACTTTCGAAACCCGTACTAAAACTTGTTGTAAGTTTTGTTCTGTTGTTAACTAGTTATCAGATGAATGTTCAAAATGTATTACTCCTTCTCTAAAATACTTCAAACCGTTCTAATAGTGACATCAAAGCTAGACAGTATAGGGATTATATTATCACTTGTAGTTTAAATAAGGAAACTTCCACGAAAAGCGATATGTGTGATTTGAAGAAGGTTCAATAAGGAGAATAGACATAGTGGAATAATCTTATTTAGTGCATTAGAAATACTCGACTTTTGAAATAATAGTCTACTAGTTATGTACTTACTGAAAATTAAAATGTTTTAAATCATATCGATCAGTTTGTCCCTATTACTTGAGTATATGAAATAAGGAAAACAACTTTATATTTGAGCTCACATCTTAAAATCAGAAAAATTTCGATCTACACAACCATAAAAGTTGCTGATTTCTCATGAAGCTACTCTGTCGCGGATTATGCGAAAATTTTATTCTATATCGTCTATAGAGCCCAACCTATCCCATTGTCGTAAGTTACAGGGATGATCTCTCCTTGATTTCAGCATTTAGTTAGAAAAACTTCATGGCGGGGTGTCACCTTGCAGGGAAAGACTTTAACATAGATACTGAACATCCTGAAACTATTCAAATTTCTTAAAAAACAAATTAATTCTTAATACGTGAAACATTGGCTCATTAAGCAATGAGTTATCCTATAGAACTAATTTAGCTAAAAGTTATTCAGTAACCTAAGAAACTGCACCGCTGGAGTCCCATTCTAAACTAAACAATAGAAGTAAAGCCTTGTAACAGACAAATCTATTATATGTGCGTAGTGTTAAAATACCAAAGCTGATTTTCGAGCATTGACTATATATGATTATCTATCTCACTGTGACTCCCATCTTCCATGGTGCTATCGAAAGCTCTTCTGAGTTTGTGAATCTGTTAGTCTGAACTGATCTTTCAAAGTAAAAACAAGGTAGTGGGCAAACATTTACTATCCTCTCGGTAGAAAACCAAAAATATGTAAAGACAGTAGGATAATGATGATGGGCGGATTCAAATGTTTAATATCTGTTGTTCGATAACGTTTATGTCCTACAAACTATGGGCTGTTTATGTAATCATATTTCACTGTGGAACAAGTGCTGAAACTAACAATGATTAATTAATAGTTTGAAAATCCCCATAGAATGTATTCAAAAATGAAGAATATTTGAGCGAACAATTGTTCTCATTAACTTCATCATCGTGCTCTACAGTTATAAGTCCATAATTATTGTGATATTTTACAAAGGCCAAAATAAGTCATGCATTAATTAATTTGACAATGTTATATGTTAAAAATGGTGAACGTTTGCATCTGTTACGACATAAATACTTCAAAAATAGTGTTATTTGCAAATTAGAAAGGTCATTTAATAAAGGTCCAGTCACAATCAGTAGAATAGCATTATAGCAAAAATGGAAATGCAAAAAAATTGTGTGAATAAAATGCATAGTAGGAGAATTAAATCTTGTCAATATTATAATTATGGATTTCTAACTGTAGAGCACGATGATGAAGTTATTGAAAACAATTGTTCGCTCAAATATTCTTTATTTTTGATTAATTAATACGTTCAAGCAGACTGGAATAGAGTATGAGCGCTTTAAATGACCAAATTTTCAGAAATTTACAAATAGTACTAAACAAATAGAAAATTTTCTGAACAGTTTCAGGCTTTGATAGAATGTACTGATCTAATTTGATGTACATTTAGTATAACCCTAGTAAAATGCCCGCTTTGTTTGTTTTTGTCGATTGAGAATTATTGACTTCCTGAATGTTCTGAAATTTGTACTATTTAGTTGACTGACCGTCCTCTCCGAAATTCTTAGTTATACGAACTCCTCCTCTGCGTAAAGAACTCATAGTTTCGAATTATTTGGCAAAAGTGAATCAGTGAGAAGAAACCTATTACATTAGTGTTCTTGTGTTTTATTTTCTCCGGATTCAACCGTTTTTGTATATTATTGACACTACTTACTAATATTCAGTAACCAGTTTAGTTCTAATTACTTTTGAACATCTCGAGTCCAATGTATACATGTTGCCGTAACGTTCACTTTATTTTTGTTATTAAATTTGCTCAAAACTTGTAACAGTTGCTTTCAATTTTTGTACAGTACAACTCAAACGGTATACACATAGAGAAGACCCCATCATCAATCCATTGTGTGGGTACTGGTTTAGTTAAGGTAAATCGTCCTTTAAGACGAGCTCTTTAATCAGTGTGTTTAAATGTTGCCAGTTTTCTGGTCTTTAAGCTCGAGTCCTGCATACAGGCTTTTCTTACTCAGTTTTCACATTTATCCCGTTTTTTTCAGTTTAAGGAAGTACTTTTTGATGAAAGTTACTAGATATCCGTTATTTAGTGGTATGTTCTTTAGTTTTTCTATTTCTTCTGTACTATCTTCGGAAAATAAAAGTCTGTTTCTATGGCTAAGATATACAAGCAGATTTATCATACACCAATGAAGTGGGAAGTTATGGAGGTGGACATATTTTCCGGCACAGGTATTTTATGGATATGATCTTGTTAGAGAAACTATCCAACCTCTTGGAGAGGATAATGCTAAGAAATATTATGCTGTTATTGTATTCCCCTTTATATGTGTAAGTAATTAAGGAATAAGTATTTAAAAGTCCTCGTTTATTTATCGTTTTTTTCCGCATATAATATTAGGATTCAAGCTTACTAAGATTGTTATGTAATAGGTCTTTTTCCAGTTTAACTAGAAAAAAATATCGAAAAATTTGTGATCTAGAGGAAATCTTATTGCCATTCCATCTATCAGTCTGTAAAATTTATCCTTAAATGCAGAATAGTTATTCATTGTTCATTTGAGTAGAAGCTCCTTCATTCTTTCTATTGATGTCAGTAAACTTCATTTTCTTTGCATTAGTTGCCCACATATGTAATCTTTAGTTTCTTTCAGAAAAATAATTGTAGAGAGTGATGTTCTGTCGAGAGACAAAAGAAATTATCAGTTAGATTTACATCTGTTATCAGATTTAGAGATTCATAGTTGATTAATGCATGGTGAAATGGTCCTTATAATCTCATCAACCATTTCGCTATTGAATTGTGTAATGAGTTTGATAAGTCGCGAGTTTTATATATAGTATCGGCGATTTTCGAGAATTCATAATCATAATATTAAAAATCGTTAAAACTCACTGTAAAGACAGATTTTAAGTCGATAACAACGAAACCTTGGCAACTGCTACAGCAAAACTGAATCAAGCGTGGAAAAATGTGACTTTATATCCTAAATTGTTCAGTTATACACCCACACTATTTGCGATGAAATGAGAAGAGTAGAATTTCTCATATGAATTCATAAGAATGATAAGTAATAATTTTACAATTGTTTGTTTTATTAGGTTGGTGCGTGTGATTAAAATCGCTTGAGTTAATTAAAATTATGATTGCTGAGAAGTGTTACGTTTAAAATACCATTGAGAGAATTAGTGTTCCACTGAATGAATATGTCCGTAGTTTGAATGTTGGATACTGTCTTAAATTGAAAGATAGATATGTGAAGATAGTTGTCATTGCTTTTTCAGTACGCAGTGAAGAAACGTTAAACCATCATTCGTGAACAGTGAAGTGAATGTTTCAGTATATACATTAGTTACAGGGTCTTGGTAATTTAAATTCGTATAATGAAGGGGTTATTTGAGTACAGCTGGACTTTCTCAATTATTTGATCGACAAATACAATCAATAATTGAAAACTGGAATATAGTATTTCATCATCATCATCATCATCATCATCATCATCATCATCATCATCATCATCATCATCATCATCATCATCATCATCATCATCATCATCATCATCATCATCATCATCATCATCATCATCATCATCATCATCATCATCATCATCATCATCATCATCATCATCATCATCATCATCATCATCATCATCATCATCATCATCATCATCATCATCATCATCATCATCATCATCATCATCATCATCATCATCATCATCATCACATCATCATCATCATCATCATCATCATCATCATCATCATCATCATCATCATCATCATCATCATCATCATCATCATCATCATCATCATCATCATCATCATCATCATCATCATCATCATCATCATCATCATCATCATCATCATCATCATCATCATCATCATCATCATACATATTGCCTTCCTCCAGTGAATTGACTTTATAACCCGAAAACTTTGTACGGGTACCCAAAGTCTTTCGACAGCTAACCTTATAGCTATTCTGTTTTCTTCCAAACGAAAAATGTCACATTGTATAAGATTGCGAAGTAATATTATTAGCATCCTCAATAAGTTATGCCTATTAGCTATGATAAAAGATAAGCAGGTGTGAGACCAAACCCAGCAGGTGCATCGAAATACTGTAACATTTACTTGCAGGCATTGTAGTAGTTGCAAATCCAACATATTAAAAATACAAGGTTCAGGGAAGGGATCTCTTTTCAACGAATTATTATCAAGCTGTACAATCGTATATATACATATATATGAAAAAAAGTGTTATGTTTAAGTACTAGTTCCGTGAGGACATATGAACAAGGAACAACCATAATGATGCAATCGAAGGATTATCATACTAGATTACGTAATATGAACAATAGACTCGATAAGTTAGTAACGAATTATAATATGAATGCAGCGAGAGGATTAAAATGTTTTTCGTACAATAATTAAAGGTAACTGAAGTGAAAAATGTGAATGAAGTGATATCATGAACAATTATGAATAAAATCATGAGAATATGAGACATAAGTAAAGGGAGAAATGAAGTAATAATAACTATTATTATTACCTTAAAGTGATAATGTTAGAAAACATAAAAAACTTTCGACAAAAACGATACTAGTGAATTTCATGGATTTTAGCTTTTATAGAGGTTGTCCTTCCTATTTTAAATACGCTGGACAGTGCTTCAGATGACCTGAAAGAATGTGACTGCAGTCGCACTTGCTCTCTTGTTGCGTAGATCTTAAGAAAAATATCCCTATTATGAATTACTTTCCGATTTGGAAACCACCACACTTTATTGATTCATAACCTTCTCTTCAGTATGGGTTCTTCATATTTCAAGCTTATAATAAATTGTAATTTAATACTCCATATTTCGTCTAACATTTTTAATGAGATAATAAGCTTTTGGCCCTAGGTATTCTAGTAGGAGGACTAGGCCATATCGATAGTTAACTGGTCAAAATTTTTGACGGTGATTGTTTACAATAACTATAACTGGTCTCGTGATCTGTGTTACTGTTGAGAGGATAATGATTAAAATGAAAAATAATTTTACTGTGTCATATAGGTAGCTTAGTCATCATTACTGATTCCATCACTCGTTGATTCTATGTATATTGTACGCAATCCAACGCCTTAAAGGAGAAGAAAGTAAGAGTTTATTCCATTCCTCAAACCTAACTATTTTGTTTTCCTTAACTACAAACTGTTAGCTTCGCTATAATATAAGATGCATTTTTTTAAGAACATCAAATTGTTTAAATACATTTGTCTTAGAATGATGATAAGAACTAGCCTGGTTTATAAAATTGGATTTCATCATGAATGAAATAATTGATTCACCAAAGACTAATAGGATTGAAGTTTTCAGTCACCCTATTAACAATAATTGAAGGTAATTGATATTTCGTTGCTTTGGAATTTTTATCCACTTAGAGTTTATTTCCTACTTAATCACTGATGAAATAAACAAAAATGTACTTTTTATTAGTCATAAAACGGTTTCTCCAATTATATCTAGATATATAGTTGTTGACACAAAAAAAACTCTTGATCACTGATCAGTCATTCACTCTTCTCTTATGTTTGAATATCTTTAAAATAAACATCCAAACATCATTTTAAGGCATTTAGCATTTACGTGTAGTCCTGAAGCCAAAAACTGAGTTCTTAATGGATTTATCCTTCAAACAATCATCTGATATGAGATGATGCATTAGATAAACAGTTTAATAGTGATATATTAATGTAAAATTTTCAGTGGTTGAGATCAGTGTGCATTTTTCTTGTAATATTTAGAACTGATTAGTCAAAATACATAGGGGTATTTTTTAGAAGTCTATAGGAACATCATATTATGATTACATCTGTGATTAGAAATACTTAATTGCTTCTGTAAAATACTAAAAACAAAAGTAAACTGATTTCCAAAGTGTAGAATAAGAATCTTCTGTTGCCGTAATAGTCAGATACCAGTGTTATTCGAGTGTGAAATAAATCACACATTTTACTTTTTATAATAACACATGAATACGAACTAATTTGCTAGGCCTAACATTCGTACTTTAAAATGTGAAGAATCGTATCTACAGCTGGTGACCTCTTCAAATAGTGTTCAACAGAAGATTAGAGTTGCATTTAATATACTGCCTGACAAATGCTACATTTAGGTTTTTTGATTAAATCAAATAAGAATTAGACGAAAGATGTTAGGTAATCATAAATCTACGAATAAATGCCAAACCTACTATTGCGTATTAAGGCTTTTTAATCAAAATCAAATTGTCATTCGCTGATATTATGGGTTAAGGTATGGCTCACGTATATTATATTTATCAATACAGTCATCTCTTTGATAAGAAGGATTTCGAGTAGATAACAGTAATACTAAACTCTCTAGTGGTTACTTATATCCAGATCGTGATCTTTGTGCTTACTTTAAGACGTTAGACTACACTGAATCACATCGTTTGGTTCATTGAGTTTGCACATCATTAGGAGGAGACTTATTAGATCCTCTTAAAAATATATGGTAAAATCAGTCGTCTCAGCCTGCTACTCACATTGGAGCATACACCACTGACCAGAGAGCTCCAAGCAACTCTGTTCTAGGCTCTTTCTTTCAGCTGTTCCAAAGTGCTATTTTTAGTCTTGATATCTACCTCTGTATTTCAGCGGAAAAGTTCAAAACATCTACTTGATCTAACTAAAAACTTACAGAGACCGATTTGAATGGTTGTGTTGTCTCAATGAATAGATAAATAAGTGGATAGATATTTATTTTGGTATATTAGTTGAAGTGTAGTGCTTACAAACATATTAGCCGATAGGGTATTTACTTGGAACACGACGCCGCGAATCTAGGCAAATGTTCTGTCATAAAAATGTACAAAACAGAAACTTATTGCCTTATATTTTGTCCTCAACAGAATACTGAACACCATGTTTACTTTTTCAATATGTTCTCCGAGTGGCTTGGGAAATATCATACGACGTTAAATAACAATGAAGCGATCGAACAATTATTAAACACAATGCAACACTGAATGGAAACGTGCTAAAGAAACGAAGTATTACGAATAAACACAAAAAGTGAACTTATTGATAAGTCCAAACTTTATGGTTAGTATTATGGTTATGTTTTATCGGTTTCAATCTCTAAGGATTCAGTTTCATCATTTACCAAACCTCATATAGTAAAATAAATCAAGGAAATAAGTGGTTAAATAAAACAAGTAATAGCCTTTCAAATTGTTTTTATTCCTTGAGCTGATCTTTTCATAGTTCTTCATTTATGCTGACAATGGTGTCATTAACACAAATATCTGTGTGGTCAGTGGTTGTACACGTGCAGCATGCATATGTAATAAAACTCATTAACTTCATAACACTACTTTTTTGAAAAGGTGAACATTGCCTTCTGGCGTGCATGACACAATTTGGTTTTTATACATAAACTGTTCTGTTGAGTTCAAAGATATTTGAATGGATTATTTATAAAACATAGAGATCATCTTTTGTTTTCTAGTTCACGAAACTGAAAGTTGTGTGCTCTACTCTGTACGGTATGGAAGGTACGTAATTCTCATAAGTCTAATGGTACAGTGAAACAGATATAAAGCACTTCTTAGCTTTCCAGATGACATCAATTAGTGACTGGAATTAATTTCAGAATGTATGTTTTACGAGAGTCGTTGCATCGATATATCATACAATAAAATGGATACATTTTATGCTGCTACTTTCAGTCAATTCATACAACTTGTAATATTCTGTTTATCTTGTATTTAATCTTCCTATGTGAGCTCAAGGATAGAGTTGTTCTGATAAACTGATAGTAGCAATATGTGGAACTGATATAATGAAAACTGAGTTTTTAGAACTTTTAGGCGTTGATTATACGTTGATCTGATCTCGAATTCATTAATTACCAGTACAAACACCGTCTGCTAGGTTATTTTGAAAGTGCACTTCATTCTGCACGTTGAAACTTATTTCTCGTTCATTAGAAAAAGGATTGGTTTTGCTGTATCCCAGATGTTCTACATTTGTACATACATATGAATACATATGCGCCACACAGATCTCATTTGATATGTGTGAGGGCTGTGATACTGCCCGGGTGCCCAAACCGAAGCAGGTGGTTTTCTTAGGGGGCCACACCCCGAGCCTTTGACCTGAAGATCTGATCCACAAGGCAGTGGAGCAGCGTGAGGAGATGCAGTCCCATGGTAGCCAGTGACCAACGATTGGTTCATACGCCATTTATTCCCGCAGGATACTGGAGCCCATGTGCACCATTGGTTTGGGATCCGGTTAAAGCGCCGGACATTCGCTTTTCGTCCTCTCATTTTCGTAAACAACACCCCAGCCACAAAAAGGAAGTGAGTAGGACTTCCCTGGCAGGGGCTGTATACGTGTGGCCATGTGAGAGCATTTCGAGAGGGGTAGCGGACTCCCCCCACTCTCGGCCATACCAGGGCATTCGGGGGCTCATTTGTACATATGATGTTTTAATATTCCTCGCTGAGATCTCGGGTGTAAATTACGAAAAGGGTAGAATAAGTTATTTCTTAGTCAACTTGATGGCATTGGGATTTGAGTCACTGAGAAATAACGATTATCACAAACATCCTTCAGCATAAATGTCATTCAAGATTTTCTACCACTGAAAGCTTATCTAGACTGAGAACTAAATTTTTTTTAAACATCCCAGTTTTTGTCTTTGTTCCTGGTATCAATTTGGTTAAGACATCACCTTTTTACGTAAACTAAGTAGTGATTGTCTGATTTCCTAAATTCATTTGTTTACTGTCACTGTTGATTGTCAAGTGCTAGACGATACTTAACGTCGTTCATTTGATAGAGTATCTAAGCTTAGTCATATGGGTTACTATAGCGTTACCATTATCAATGGTGTTTATCGGTTTTTGGTATTCCCCGCTAGTTTATATACTTGAATCCTAATGTCCTAGAATCCTGGTAATGAAATTGTGGTTTCCGAACACTAGACAAACTTACATACAGAAAACCATTAAAGTAACTCTTCATCTTCTGGTCCTACCTATTTTTAGAATTTTCAGCTGTAAAAGACTACTAAGGAAGTGGTGAGAGCTACAAAACAACCTGAAGAAATGTTTACCTGTATATTGTTGGGTTTTCACTCGGTCGATGTCACTACTTGCACATCAGTTATAGAAAGAGACAGATATAACGGATAATAATTAGTCATTCTACTGAGAGCCGTTTTGAATTTTCCTTTCACTTGGAGGTTAAATGAACGCACGATAATAAAATGAAGGACGCTTTCTTTATCCCATACATTATACACCGATTAACCAAAGATATGTAGTGCTTATCAATTGTGAAAGTCAAGTAGTTTCATATCTACAATTATTAATTTTCCATCAGAATGATTTAACATGTTACATTGCTACAATCTTATTTGGAAACATGTTTCCAATAAAATAACTAGTTTGTAAATAATTAAAGCTGAGAGTTTCCTACTTTAAGTGAACATATTATTACATAAAATCAGCTAAGGAAATTAACAAAATGTCAATAATCACTATTTACTATACTCAGTAGGTATGTATTAAAATTAATTTAAGCATTTTATGTATTCTATACTTGTTACTCTATATATGCTTGTTAGTTTCACAATGAAGTAAAATCAATAAATCAGATTTTATAAAGTTTGCCAAATACGTTCATATACACCAATTGACATGTGGAATGTAAAAGTTGTTTTTTTTCTTTTATTTATTGAAAGTAAATAAATTATGAAACAAAGTTTTACAATCTGAGACATACAATTTGAATTACTCTAAATTGTTGATTATAAACATATATATTAAATAGAGTACTAGTGATTGTGTCATATATAGTCAATAATGAATTAATTGAACAGTGTGAAAGTGAAGTATATTCAACTGACTGATATATGATTCAGATTTCTTTCAGTAATAGTTATTAATGATAGCGATTAAATCTAAAGCTTGTTCTTAAACTGAACAATATTGTAAGATCTAAAGTTTTGTCTAAGTGTAAATTGTGCTTTACTAGAATGTTTTTGTTTAAAACTTATTCCATGTTGTTCAGTATTTCAAGAAAAATATAAAAAAATAGAGAAGAAACAACCTCTTTACTTTTAATAGTTTTATACATTGTAGATCACAAAAGTTTCTTGTTTATTCGGGTTTAATGTTCGTTTATGTTGTTATCCGATGAAGAAAATATCGAAAATGATGTTAATGAATTCGGAAATAAAATCCAACCAAATATAATACAAGAAATATAAGTCAATTAAATTCTCAAATAAATCTCACCTGTTCAAAAAAACAAAGTCACTCGCTTGTTATCAGATTCATGAAATAAGTAATATCTCTATAACTAACTATGAAACCACAAAATTATTATTATAAACAGTAGCAGTCTTTTCTGTTAGATGAGTTCTACATACTTAAGTAATTACTTTCTCTAGATATATTATAAACGTGCTAACAGAATGTAAAAAATGAGAAATAAGAATAATACATGGATTCATAAAATTCATAATTATTATGCACAGTATTGTTTATGAAAACAAAAACAACAATCTGAACTTTTTATTCAAGCTATCCATTAATAAAATCATTGGTTCAAACAAATCAAACGATAGGTATTGTACAGGAAAAAATTGTTGAGATTACGATTATACAATTACTAATTCTCGGGAGAACTCCGCCTGAAGTCCCTTTCGGGGGTCTACTGCCGGTCCCAAGCCCGGATAAAAGAAGGAGGGTTGGGCATGGAGTTAGCGACCCCATCCCGTAGAAAACTAACTCGTTAAGAAAACGCTAACCAGAAAAATTATTCAAACCATTTAAACTCTGCCCTGGGAGTCAGGAGGTCTTCGTTTAGAAGAGTTATGACGCCTCATGATGAAAGCCGAGTTCCTTCGGAAGCCACGTGGCCGATCCCCCTTCTGACAACCAGAGCACCCATTTATTTAGGTATATGGAATGCTCGTACAATGTGGGAGACCAGGAGAGTCTTCCAAATTGCTGCAGAAATCACCGTGAACCAGAACGACAAGTGAAAAGAAAGGAAGGTAAGGTAATAACCAACATCGAAGAACAACGAAACAGGTGGGTAGAACACTTCAAAGAACTGTTGAATCGACCAGCCCCACTGAATCCACCCAACATCGAAGCAGCACCCACGGACCTCCCAATCGATGCTGGCTCACCAACAATTGAAGAGATCAGCATGGCCATCAGACAAAGCAGCAGGACCAGACAACATTCCAGCAGAGGTACTGAAATCAGACGTAGCGGTAACTGCAAGGATACTCCACATTCTCTTCAGCAAGATCTGGAATCAAGAACAAGTACCAAGAGACTGGAAAGAAGGACCTCTGGTCAGAATACCAAAGAAAGGCGATCTCAGCAACTGTGACAACTATAGGGGAATCACTCTTCTCTCAACACCAGGAAAAGTCTTTAACAGTGTATTGTTATTCAGAATGAAGGACTCCGTAGACGCACAACTTCGAGACCGACAGGCAGGATTCCGTAAGGATAGATCGTGTACAGACCGAATCGCGACTCTACAGACCATTGTGGAACAATCAATTGAATGGAATTCATCACTCTACATCAACTTCATTGAGTATGAGAAAGCATTTGACAGAGTGGACAGGGCAACACTATGGAAGCTTCTTCGACACTACGGCGTGCCTCAGAAGATAGTCAATATCATACGGAATTCCTATGATGGATTAAACTGCAAAATCGTGCATGGAGGACAGTTGACAAAGTCGTTCGAAGTAAAGACCAGTGTCAGGCAAGGTTGCTTACTCTCACCCTTTCTCATTCTCCTGGTGATCGACTGGATCATAAAGACGTCAACATCTAAAGGGAAGCATGGGATACAGTGGAGATCTAGGATGCAGTTGTATGATCTAGACTTCGCAGATGAATTGGCTCTTCTATCGCAAACGCAACAACAAATGCAGGAGAAGACGACCAGTGTAGCAGCAGCCTCAGAAGCAGTAGGTCTCAATATACACAAAAGGAAAAGCAAGATTCTCCGGCACAACACAGCATGCACCAATCCAATCACAATTGACGGAGAAGATTTGGAAGATGTACAAACCTTTACGTATTTGGGCAGCATCATCGATGAACACGGTGGATCTGGTGCAGATGTGAATGCACGGATCGGTAAAGCAAGAGCAGCATATTTACAACTGAAGAACATCTGGAACTCAAATAATTGTCAACCATCACCAAAGTCAGAATTCTCAATACAAATGTTAAGACAATTCTACTGTATGGGGCGGAAACCAGGTCCGTTGGCCGGACACTACTAGCAACAACCTACTGTGGTAGAGAACAAATCAGATCCCAGTGGATGAAGAAATCAGGAAGAAGCACTGGAAGTGGATAGGACACACATTGAGGAAGGCACCGAACTGCGTCACAAGACAAGCCCTTACATGGAATCCTCAAGGTCGAAGGAGGAGAAGAAGACCAAAGAACACATTACGGCGAGAAATGGAGACAGACATAAGAAAAATGAACAAAAATCGGATAGAACTAAAAAGGAAGACCCAGGACAGAGTGGGTTGGAGAATGCTGGTCGGTGGCCTATGCTCCATTAAGAGTAACAGGCGTAAGTAAGTAAGTAAGTACTTCTCGGTAGCTTTCTAATAGATATCTTACAAGTATAACAACATTTGTAAACGCTTATGACGTATGAACTATCTGTGAAACTAGTTTTCATATCGATAATTAACAATGAAGAATTCTGATTACAATTCATTGATATTGTCAAGTTGAAAATAATTTAAACACATAATTATAGTTGATCACAGCTATAGTTTCATCAGTAAATGTAAGTTAAAAACAGTCTAAATCTATGAATTAAATTAACAATAAACTATCTGAGTTTTAGTCCGCAGTTTCAATTCCATTTAAATACACCAATAGTTTTAGTCGATAATTTAATCCCAATCAGAGTCCCTTTTATCTCCGGGTTTCCCGAGAGTTTATTCTTTTAGTAGTTATTATTTTTTTCAGCTATTAACAAAATATATTTCTAAGTTTGGTTAACCGTGTAAAAGCCATCACAAGTTTGTCTTTTAGTTCATTACCAATAATTAATTAACGATAATAACGATTATTATCCACTCAGAATTATGTATGGTAACCAATCATATTATTCATTTCTGTCTATATAAATAGATGCATTTAGGTTGGCTTTCAGTAATACCTTACATTTCAAATCCACAGTCAATTGATTAAATATGTAAGTGGTCAAGATCTATTTGTTGATTTGATTCTTATCAAACGTGATAGCTTCTTGTTTTCTTTTAGTTGTGTATTTATATTTATTGTATCATTTATTTTTCTACATAGATTAGTTGAATATTCACTATGGAGTAAGTGGTTAATTTTTGCTTTCCTATACTACTTTGTTTCACTTGACACCAAAAAATTGATATCCTTATGAACTTAAAAAAATTATTAAAAAAGTAAATAATTTTAAATTTATTCAGAGTTGTTTCATATCATGTAATGGTGACTTCTGCAAATGTAACCTTTACACAAATGACAACGTTCATATACTTCATCTATTGTAACTAGTTATTGTTCATTTGAAAAATACATTAAACTAAAATGTCTGCTATCAACATGGTTTACTTAATAAATATTTTACCCTGTGCATGGACTGTTAATATGCGGAAGCATTATCGCATTGTTACTATGGTTCTTTAAGCTATTCGTTGAAAGTGTTTGTTTTTCAAACACATTCTGAGCCAAATAACAGGTCTTGTACATGGCGCTATTGACTCATTATGTTCACCGAAGTTGATAATGTCATTTCTGGTTCCTTAAACTTTACTGACCAACAAAATGCAAGTAACATTTTTTCTAGCGAGTAAGGATGTCGCTCAGGTATACTGAAAACTCAAGAGACGTATGAAAGTAGGAATGCGTTCAAAAATTTCGCATTACGTATACCTTTAGATATTCACTGCATACTTCTACTACACTCTGGTCGCTAAAATGAACTTTTATGCAAAAATTTAAACCATAAAGAAACAATAATTATTTAGTCACAAAACGATCCCTAAAAGCCATTTTTTTACTCCAATAGATTCACTGCCACAAGTTAACATATATGTGAGATGAACAATAAATATCAGCATTGACTTAGCAGTTGTTGAAACTTGTCTAAGAGTTACTACCACTCAATATTATTAGGTTTTAAAAGTGGATACGACAGTGTTTACTAATTGCTCATTATTTTTAATGATCCACTGATACAACTGTAGTAAAAACCACCGTCAGAATTTCATATAAAAGAACTGACATTAATTTAATATGAATATAATTTTCCTTTAATTTCTGTTTTATTAGAGAATTGGAGGTCAAAGAGATGTTCTGTATGATTGATAAGAAACAACGTGGTAGAATCACTTGTAAACAATTAAGAAGATTTCTAAGGAGACATGACGCTAAATTCAGTAAGAAATCTGTAAGAAATTACGTCAAGTCAATAGACAGTGATGGGGATGGTAAATTAACATTGGATGACTTTATAAGAGCGCTTACCAAATGTGATCATACAAAATAAATTATGTTAAATGTGATTTCATTCTAATAAAGAAAAAAATGAAATAAGTATAAAATGTAAGGAAAAATTAACCTACTTAATAAAATCAAACACTTTATTACTACTTATCCTTCTGCTATTCCTCTGAATTAGTATGGCTTTCTAGAATAACTCAATAAAATATATTTATATAAATATTAATCTGCATATCACCATAATAAATAGTGTACATGGTTGCTTGTGAAAAGAATGAATTCGATTTTGTTTTACTAAATATTCGAAGATTTAATCTGTTTTCTTTTGTATTTATTGGTTGTTTATTATGTTCAATTTAATATATAATAAATTATTTCTCAATGTTAGTTGAATAGGTTACTTATTAAATTGCTGCAAAGAGGAAAGGAAATATTGATTAGCAGTTAGATTATTATAGTAGTGTTATTATGTAACATGGTGACTAGTACATTAATTTTTATTAAGCGTGACTAAGCTCATTACTTCTACGTAGTGTAGTCACTGTTAGTGAAAAAATCATTAAAACCTGTCTCCAAGTGCCAATAGCTATGGATACATTTAATTGCTGATCTTTTTTCACTCAAGTCAATATTCTATGGTTGAGTGAATAGAAGATTAGTTTGATCTCTTAAATAATTAAGAATTAAAGAGTCTTTATACTCGTATATATGATTATTGATAAACAGATAAGTATCGGCAACGTAATAAAAACATTGATAATAATCAAATGGATAATGAATTTTTTAACTGGGGGAAATGGAGTAGTGGGATAGTACTTTATCTAACACTTAAGTTTCGATACAATGATAATTAATCTATATTTTATTGAGTTCTGTTTATCCCTTATCCACTACATTACCATTGAAAATATGATTTAGGCAAACAGAAAAATATCACTTAGTGTAGTTCTGTTTTGTTGAAATTATTTATGGAAATACTCAAACAGAAACAATGGAAAACTAATGGATAACCTTTTTAATGTCAAAGCGGAATGATAAACGTCTCATTTTTTTGTTACGTAATCTAGTTAACGTGGTGAGGATCTATGGCAGTTTGCATTTTAATGCCAACGTAATTATACGAATATATATTCTGATTGCGTTTTATCGAAGTTCCACTTGTGAAATATTACTTATATTGTACATCTTAATGATAACTGTGCACAATTTTATTCATTCTCATCTCTTCCAAATAAATCCATTAAAAGTCAAGTTCATTGAACGTTCAATGTTTTTGTATCTATCTTATACATTTATCATCCATATCTGAACTACACACTGGATTACAACAGAGTAGATGAAAAGTTAACTAAATTTGTCAACCAATTAACATATAATAGAGTTTGTTGGTTTTAAAGTTTTATTTGTCCACAGAGAGCTCTTCACGGATTATAGATTGGGCCAAACTAGTAGCAAACTGAAGTGGATTGTTTCAAGTGACGAAACTTGATATATTATCTGGTTCACTTTCTATGTACCCTTGCACTATTTCAGATGGCAGTAAATACCTAATTTTACTTTTTTTCGCACAACCATAATTCATGTAACTTGCATTCCACCAACTCTGTAGCAATGAGTCCAACCCTGTTTTATTATTCCCACTCCATTAGGAATAGGTTTCATGATTACTTAAAGTTTGTTTTTCGTTGATGCTGTTTTGTGCATTATCCTATTAGAATTTATCGTGAGGTATTCTTATGCCAATCAATTATTGTTTCCCGATAGTGCTAACCAAACGTTGCTATACTACGACAGAATGTAATCTATCTATTGCTGGATTAAATAAACCACGCATTTCATTTGACATTCTATATATGGCAGCATGGACATACAGCTAATGAACTAAGCTAATTAGCTGAATGATATTTGAATCAAAATCATCTTTATAGTAATAAGTTATACTCTCGAGGAATAGATGTAAGAAAAGCTTGAAACAGCCTCTATTTGCAGAAATCAGTTTACTGACCTGTATTAGTCAACCTAGTGAATGTGAATGTTTCAGACACTTAGACACGCTCGTTATTTAATGAATATTGAAGTGACATTTTAAATATAGATATCCTTTAAAACAAATGAAACAAGTAATCTAACTTTAAATTGACGTAAGTTTGGATGGTAAAAGTTTATCCTGACTGTAAACTTGGTACTTAATAGATTCAAGCAACAGTTCTCAGCAGTTTTCTGAGTGAAAGTCTCTTGATTACAATTAACCAACTCAAATGGCAGTCATGACTAACTAACTTAAAACCAGAATTCTAAAGATGATTCTTACTAACTTGATGGAACTAGTTTGTGGGAGGATAACAAAATAACACCAACCGGTTTAGTATTATTTGCATGAATAGCTAGTACCTTAGTGATACTTAGCGTCTTAATCTGCCGTATATATATATATATATATATATATATATATATATATATATATATATATATATATATATATATATACGGCCCCATATTTCAAGAAGAAATGCAAAGCAAACATAAATCTAAGTGTCTTACCAATAAGTTCATGTCAAGTTTGTGACGCTTTCGGCATCCGAAACAACTGCAATAAGTTACTTTAATAGCAAAATAATAAACATTTTTTGATGTGATTAATGAGTTACGAGATTCCCTGATTTCGTGTTTCGACATTTAGTTTCAAAGGACATTAATAACAAAAGCTCACAGAATACCGGAAACATGTATAACAAAACATATTAAATTGTAGTAGACGAGTTTTATCTGTTGTTCAAAAAATTAAGAGGATAGCAAAATTGAATATATCCATTTTTGAGTTGAACATTAAAGATAAACTTACAAAAAACAAAAATTCGTTACAAAACATGGGTAACATTTACGGATTCGACAACTCAATCTTTTTTTATTGTAATCACGTTTGATTTAGTAGTAGAAACAAACTGAAAAAGCCATAACGACTATGACAAAGTGATACTTGACAACTGTAGTATCATTATTTTTACCGAGTAATATTTAAGAATTTGGAAAAATACCAGTAGCAATGATGTTTATAATAGGTCATTGATAATAATTGTGTGAAACTTAGTAATAATTGAATCACTATTAAGGAATGAATTTATGAAACTGTTGTTTTGAGTATAAATAATAAAACATGAATGTTCATTTGACAGGATTAGAAAACTCTCATCTCCGCAAAGATGACTACTGCAAATGAAGATAAACATTGTTGTTTAAAAGCTGAGCTATGAGCAACGAATTCCAACTTTTCTGCAGTTAAAATATATTTAATAATAGTGAAAAATATGATTTCTTTTTAATTGAACAGATAAATGTCCTTAAGAAACCTTGGTCTTTGTGCAGTTCGGGCGTTGATTAACCGCGTGACGAAGAAATCTAATGATATGGAGAATTTCACATTATAATGATTACTTTCATCTTATTTTCTTATTTTTGCTATATGAAATAAAGGTTAACATTCTCATTAACAGCAGAAAATGTATAGTTTACGTGTAAGTAAAATGAGTCAGTCAGAGGCTTACGCTGAACTACGGTTTGAAATGGATTTATTAAAGGAAGACCCACTGGTAAATCACTGGTTACTTCATTTGTCTTCTCTGATAAACTTACACGCAACAACCTACTTACTTACGTCTGTTACCCCTCGTGGAGGAGTATAGGCCGCCTACCAGCATTCTACATCCAAAACTGTCCTGGTCAGTCCTTTGCAGTTGTTTTCAGTTGCAAACAAAGCCGAGTATTTCAAGTCCATTTAAAAAATATTCATGCTGTTTTAAAGCATCCGTTGTTACACTATTAATTTCGATGTTGTTACATAAAAACTGTTAGGTCATTCAAATATTTAACATTTAGATTATTTAGTATTAATAATATAATTGCTGAAGTTAGCTGTCTAACTATTCCCATTCTGATTTTAACATCTTAAAAAGCATTTTATCACTGTTAACCTTCATTTAGAACTAATCCAAGCACTAGGAAATCGTCCTTTGTTTGTCACATCCATTATTCACGTCTTGGGTTAAATTTATCAATATCGATCACTTCAGTTTCTTCCATTCAACTTGTTTTGGAAGACATTTACATGTTGTTTTATTTTCTTCTCTGACAATTATTCTGCTTGGTTGTTAAGTGAAAAATACAGATGAATCAACAACTTAATTCGTGAATTCCCTTTACATTGTGACAAGTGTGTAGTACAACAGGCAAAAATGAGCACGTTTATTCACTTAAGTTCTGTGTACTAACGTAATGACTGAATGTGATAAGAAATAAGGTTTGCAGTACGAATCGAATCAAAGGCCTACAGGGACGAGATAGTAGCAGGATTATTAGAAGAAAGATTTGAGAACGGAATGTATTTGCATGTAAATTTATTTTGTAAATCTCCCTCTGTGCAATTTACAACATTATTCCACATTTTCTATCTTTTTCCATCAAAATACTGTTTTTCTGTGTGGTTATTTTGAAGTTCTAATTTGTATTCTTACCAATTTCTATGTTTTAAACTTTTGTACTAAAGACTTCACATCATTAGTATGATCTTGCCCCAGCTTAAAACAAATTGGATTGGAGCTACTCTCTGCAGCTATATAAAAGTGTGAAACTCAATTTTTGACTGGACAAACGAGTTAATTTTTAAAACAAGAAAATGAATCATTATTTTAATGATTATTACTATTACTGTTGTTACCATAAGTTGTATCTCTTTGTGAGTACAGTAAAATAAACATTAGCAATAAATAAAACTATAGAACAACGGCAACTGTATAAAAACGATTAATTAGTATCACGTGTTAATCGTTTACACAATTAGTGTGCTTATGTATTAACATATTAGAATGCAAATATATATATATATCACCATGTAAACTTGTGTAGTTGTACTCAGGCGATGGTCTGCCAATCACTTATATTTGACTAATCTCATCAACTTGAGTAAAACAAATATGCATTGTGTTTCGGTGCAAGCAATTTGTTATAAAATATTGAGCTATGCATCTTCAAATGTTGAATAACAAAAGCAACAAAATTAGCTGATCAATGCATTTTGTTTATCTGGTGATTGAGTGTATTAAGTTTGAAAATCGATGGAATACAATTAATGGCATAAAAAACAATTAAAACGACATGTATATATTTGGATAAAGATATGGCATAAATTTTTAAGAAGGAGTGCAGGAAACTAGAATGTGAACAAATAAATTTATTAGGAGACCAACAGATATATAGTGTGCTTTCTTCAATTATAAATTCACTATCATATGAACAATACTTATAGTCATATTATTTTATCAGTGCATAAAAGAGTTCACAATTAATTTTTATTCCCTCATTTTGTCTCATTCATGATAGTTAGAATCTTTGTAATAAAACGTATCTAAAAAGATAGCTTATTTACTGATATATGTAAATAGTTCAGAGTACACAGAGCTAAATTCTGTCCACCTAAGGTAACATTAAGTGAAGAAAGGAATTTGATGAAATGCAGACTTTAACTATATGTCGTTATGATTTACTGGAACATCCGTTTTTGTTGTAACTTTGCCCTCAGTTTTTCTACTTCTCCTTCTACACTATCTTTGGGACGTACTCGTCGGATTCTGTGGCTGAGATGATCTAGCTTTGAAACGGATATCCCATAGATATTATGCAGAAACGCATATTTGAAGCAAAAACATGACAGAATGACACAATTATAATGAATATTCTACTGAAAACTAGACTTCAAAGGGGATGTATGAAGTGATATTCTGACGCATTGATTGAATAGGTCTATTGAAACGTCATCTTACTGTTCTAAAATACTAATTATTTTATAAAATAAGTAAATAATTTCTCATTTAATCAAGAATAGTTTACCAATAACGGACTCATTCATGTATTTTGATTAGTTTAACCTCTCCTGTGGGGCTAGCTATATAGGCCGTGATCAAAGGACCTTATCCTTACTCACTCGAATATGTGCGAAAATGGTTAGAACAAAGTGTCACTAAATCTATAGACAGTGCCATTCTTTTCCAAGTCCCTATTAATTTACCATGATGTACAAGATTACGCAAAACCAATTGGGATATGATCCAATAAACCTGAACTATATTTACAAAAGAGATACATTTAATCCCTTTTTTATTTTCATCCACAGTAGGATCGTCTCATCATTTACTCAGTCTCGACAGTATACGAAAAAAACACTACAGCCTTTCATTTTACAAGATATAAAAAGTAGTT